TATTAGGCATACAGACATTTAAAATTGTTATATCCTCTTGAGGAGTTGACGTCTTTTACATTATGAAGTGACTTTGATAATATTTTTTGCTCTGAAATCTACTTTGTGTGATATTAATACAAGTATGGCTATCCTTCTGATCAGTGTTAGCTAGGTTTATCTTTTTTTACATTTAGCCTATCTGCATTTTTACATTTAAAGTGTATTTTCTTATAGGCAGCATATAGTTGGGTCTTGCTTTTTTATTGAATCTGACAATCCTGCATTTTGATAGGAGTGTTTAGACCATTTACTCTTAATGTGATTATTGATATGATTCGGTTTAAACCTATGGTCTTGTTATTTGCTTTCTATTTATCTGTTCTTTGTTTCCCTTTCCCTGTTTTTCTGTCTTCTTTTGAAGTGAGTACCTGTAATCTCCTTTGTTGGCCTACTAGCTATTACTCTTTGTGGTTTTGTGTTGTTGTGTTGCCTTAGGGTTTATAATATACATATTTACTTATTACAGTATACCTTCAAGGGATATTTTATCACTTCACTTACAGTTTGCCTTTCGATAGTATATTTTCATTTCTCCTCTCCTGCTTTTATACTTTTGTTGTCATACATTTTAGTGTACTAGTGTACATCTTATAAATCTCAGAATATATTATTATTTTGGCTTTAAGTTATTTAATTTGCTATTGAAGAGGTTTTTTAAATAAAAAAATTCTTATATATTTTAAATAGAAAAGTATTTTATGTTTGTACACCTATATATAAGATTGTGCTGGATATTTTCTATTCTTGAGCTTTGTTCTTAAATGCAGGTATTAACTTGGAAACATTTTGATCTGTTTAAGACTTTCTTTTAAGCATCGTTAGGCAGGACCAGAATAGCCTGTAATCTTTCACTAATTGTTCCCCTTTACTGAATACTCTGCCTGATGCCCTGTTTATTACAGATCTTTCCACTCTGGCTGGTGGTATCACAAAGGGTTTTCCCCTCCAACGATTGTCCCCCTATTCTCCTCCTGTGGGATTCTGTAGAAGGCCCTCACCAGATGCACCTCCTGGACCTTGGACTTCCCAGCCTCCAAAAATGTTAAGAAATAAATTTCATTTTCCTATGAACTACCCAGTTTTGGGTATTCTGTTATAAGCAACAGAAAACAGACTAATACAGACCTACTACTGTAAAGTACTATTGTTGTGAAGATTAAATGAATTGATACATATGAAGATCTTAGAATAACAACAGGGCACAAAGAACACACAATAAATGTTGATAGCTATTAGTAGCTCTCCCTACTCTCACATTTAGTCTTTGTTTTTACATCAGTTGGTTTCCACTAAGTGGTGGACTTCTTTAGACAAGGGCCAGACGACCTACTGTCTTGTGACTTCTGTCCTCTCCCACAGCACCCTAGGGCTTGTCCAGTGTCTGCCATGAGTGGTAGCATAAAGCAGAAGCTTAACACATTTCCGCTGAATTAAATTACTTCTTCCCCTATGGATAAAGACATAGGAAGCTCAGGATCTCAGCCAGAGGACCGTTGCCCACCCGTGTCCCCCTCTCCTCCCAAGGCCCGAGCAGGCCACCGGCTTTAATTTACATCCTCACCTCCCATTCCCCTCATCTCCTCTTTCCTAACCAACCCCCGGGAGCCTGAAGGGGAGGGAGCCTAGAACCGGAGTCTGACACAGGCTATGGGTGGGATTTGGTAGTTCATAGAAGGAGGCAGCACATCTAGAATGGGGGAACGTGTGAGGGGGTGGGCTGGTTCCGATGGACCGGAAATCAGAAGCTGCAAGAAGGCGCCAGGAAGGGCCTACCGGGATGGCGCTGGGTATGGGGACCCGAGGGTGCCAGAGGGCTGAGCACCGACTGTAGCCACGTGGAAGGTGCTCTGCGCAGGGACAGGGGCCAAGGCCAGCGGTTGGCCGGGGAGGAGACACAGATGCCCGGCAGCGCCGAGGGAGGGGGTCCGGAGGGAGGAGCAGCCCCAGAGCGCCGGCTGACGTGTCCACCAGGTGGCTCCGCCCACGGCCCGCGCCTGCGCACGCCCGGCCCGGCCGCTTCTCGCGTCACCGGTGACCACAACATGGCTGCGGCGCCGGTTGTGCTGCTGCTCTGGCTGTTGGCGCTCGTGCCGCCCCAGCTGGTGCCGACGCAGCCCCACGCGAGCGCGGGTCGGCGCTTCTCGGAGCACAAACTCTGCGCGGACGACGAGTGCAGCAGTGAGTGACCTCGGGTCCCCGTCGCGGCGCCGCCCGGGCTCCGCGGGGGCCGGAGCTTGGCAGCCCCTCT